GGGGGTGTAAATACATTTTTTGCTCCAATGAGAAACGATGTAAATCTAAGATGTATAATTGATTTGCTCCATTTTTCCTCTCTTTTTCCCAGCCAGATCCCACCTGCAAGAGATGTAAAAATAGATATAGAATTGCATCTATATTTACATCTCATGGTGGTGATATAAATATACATTCATTTACACCCCCCATTGCGGGTGATTCCGATCACTCGAGGTGTATATTTAACATACATCCCATTACACACACCCCCCCCAAAAAAAAAACTGTGGATGCTCTAATAGATAGCGAAAAGTCGAAAAGTCTCTCGATGGACTCCTCCCCCGGACCAAGTTGAATAATATTATGAGTAGAGGCTTAGCTAGGTAACCATCTAATACGATCTGACGTTGAAGCTAATCCCAAGTATCATTTTCACTTTTTTCACATGCTTTGCTTGTAATAAAAGTGTGTTGCACTCTTGCTATTTGTATTTATTATATTGCTTGACACATTAAACTTAAGAAAGAAAGGAAAATAAATGAGATCGTCCATTTGTTGGCAGCTCGGTCAATTGAGCCATGTTGCTCATCATGGGCAGCATCAGTTTCTTTTAAAAATAAAACTGGCTTCTGGTAAGTTTGTACGTGTGTTGTGAAATCTTGATAAAATTTGAGAAGGTTTACTTTCAGGTGCTGAGGGAATCAGATATATCAACTTGTTGTTAGAATGTGGTTGTGGGAAGGAGGTGATCTCTGCTAGCGGGAATGATATTGGTGATGAAAACCTGAGAAGCTAGGTAAGAACGTTGCCAATGCCATCAAATATTTCTCACCAAATGAAATGAAAATGAAAATGAAACTGAAAATGGGCTAATAGTGGTGGAACCTAATTAAGCTAAGTGATGATGATATGTGATGACAGCTTCTCCTGCTTATTTCTTAAATTGCCAGCCATTAAAATTCGAATTGGCCTGGGAATTGAAGCAGAAATGTAAGTTGTATCATTGTTTCATTATTCTGTTCTTATTATTTCTTACATAGGCAATTCTCTCATTTCTGTCTTCATATGAAAAACCCAGAAAATCATATCTCTGCTCATAAGCAAAGTTGAGTGTTCTGCAACTTAATTTTTAGGCCGAATGATAACGCCCTTGATAACAAGTCCTCTCTTCCATTTCACACTATCATATTCATACATCGAAAACTCCATGTCCCCAGGTATTCCTGGTGATGCTCTAAACTCGCCAACCGAAATCTCTATCCATTGCTCTCTTGGGATTTCCTTCAACTTAACTTCATGCCATTGTTTGCTACCATCTGGAAGAGTGAGACTGACATTCACCGGAACATCCCATCCTTCAGCTGAATCTTTCAGCTTGACCACAAACGCAACTTCATACAGAGTTCCTGGTGACAGCTTTGTAGTCTCAAATTGTCCGTGCACTTCTAGCCAACATTCATTAATCATTTCAGCAGCATCAATGACGACACCACTGCAATGAAACCTGAGTTAGGATTGAGAGTACTGATAGCATTTTATGATATTTATTTTATTATTATTATTATTATTATTATTTGTATATATTGCGTTTATCTGTTTCAACTTCAATAGGACTGGAGAAACTGAGAAACCAATAAGTTACGTATTGAAATTTTTGGTACCTGGTTTCTTGCAGGGAGGGCCAGAGCCAGTTACGATCGTCTTCAGCCCAAGAGATCGAGAGATCCCTAGCATATACCATAAAGCAGTTGTTGGACTTCTTGTCAATCCAATACTTCTGCAATAACAGTGATAATGCTAACAATTCATAGTCAACAAAATAATGACATAACCGAGATGGTTGGTTTCTAAGTTCACTTACAAGTTGGCCTTCTTTAAATCAAATTAAAAGCCCCATATATTTTGATTTGGAGCTTAATTTCGACACGAACTGGAATATTTCACATTTCACGAGACAAAACTAAATCATCTGAGCATAGTGTTTGAATTTCAGATGCTGGGCTTACCTTTCTGTTTTTGTTTAAGGTTATTCCAGCACGGAGCTGTTCATGGAGGTTTTCCACTGAGGATTTGTTGATGGGTGAGTCAGCATCTCTCAAAATAGCTTCATAGTTGGGTGGAAGCGCCGGTTTGGGAGGAGGCTCCGGTTTGGGAGGAGGCTCAGGTTTGGGAGGGGGCTCCGGTTTGGGAGGAGGCTCAGGTTTGGGAGGAGGCGGCCGTGGGGTCTCGGTCTCTGACCCATACCCACCCCCCATGTTTTCAATACACTTCTTCCATCCAATGCTTAGTTTTTACTTATATAGATAGAAAAACAAGGCTTGGTTGGTCATTTACATGGCATGCATATAAACCTATGATTTTCATATCATTGTGTACCTCACTAAAGGTTTGGATGAGGATGAAAGTTTTAGCTTGTTACCAAGAAATATGTCGTGTGAACTTTTATTTTAGTTTTTCTTTGGTTGTCAGTTTCTCATGTATGCTGATGTTCAAGCATGAATTAGAAACCAGTGGGTTGGAAAACACTTTGAAATATCAGAAAATGCCTTTATTCCATATAGAAAAGGGCGTTCCTCAAATAAAAATTATTTGAGGGATCCCTCAATAAAAGGGGACTATATATATATATATATATATATATATATTCCATTCTGCAGAAAAAAAAGAAAGGACTTTTATTCTAATATATAAATATTCCAATATAAAAATTCGTTTTTGTAAAGTAATATTTGTAAGTGGTCATGATCATCTTGATTTACTTGGGACAATCGATCAAAAGCTACCTTTACCGGTTTGAACATGAACATTATATTTGAAGGCCTTTTCCTTCATATCCACTGGAATTGATATTGTGGAATATTAAGCAACCTTCATGCAGGCTTTATGAGTCTGAGAAAGAAAAATCTTAAAATGTTGCGGATGAATCGGTAGGAATTATTTGAATAGAAAGCACTTTGGTATATATGTATAATGCATAAATGCCTAAATTCAAGATTCATTACATGGGGAGACAAGTTTGCTGACTAAAATCTCTTTTTGGAGGTGAGTTTTCTCTCCCTACAGTTGAAAAGGTTGTCACTAAATTCCTCTGTTCTTGTAGCGTCTCAAGTACCACAGTGGAACATTCCGAAGAGTAAGGCTTAATAAATTGGTTGCAATATATTATCTGTGAGACTTTGAACTTCGATTGACTTGAGTTAATTGTTCTCATATATTTGTATAGGAAAAGTATATCAGAAACAAAATTGAAGATATCTTCATGCAAACCATTTAGCATTTACCTACATGGACCGTTGGAATCGCATTTAAGCATGAGGAATGTCTTAATAACCTATACTAAATAAGTGTGTCTTCACATGTGGGAGTTATATCTTGGTTTAAGAATAAAGTTACGGAGAGTCTTTTCATCTCTATGAGGAAAAATAATGGAAGTGGCATCATATATGCAACAATTTATTTTTGTTCTCAAGTACAAGCCTGCCTTGAACCGAGTAGCAGATGCTCTGAGCAGGAGAACAAACTTTTCTCTTCACCATGAAGAACCATGTTTTGGATTTTGATTCTATACGTGATTTGTTATCTACTGATGATGACCCATACTTTGCTCCTATTTTGCGTGATGTGGAAGCAGGCCTACGCTTTGATTTTATCATACATGATGGTTTTCTATTTAAAGGGAATCAGTTTTGAATTCCAAATTCTAGTTTGCGTTTGAATATTATTAGTGAATTGCACAATTAAGGGGATATGGGGCGAGACAAGACATTGCGCAGTCGATGATCTTATTTTTGGCCAACTTTACAGTGCTACGTTACTAGATTTATGGAAGGTTATAGGGTGTGCAAGTTGTCTAAAGGTGCAAGAACTAATGCAAGATTGTATATGCCATTGCCAGTCCCTGATCAATCATGGGTACATGTCAGTATGGACTTTGTCTTGGGGCTTCCTCATATTCAATGAGGTATGGATTCTATTTATGTGGACGTTTGATTGATTTTCCAAAATGGCCCATTTTATGAGAAACACTTGTGTGAAATATGGATAATATTATTTTGCTATTTTCGGCCCGTCACGACAATGCCACACGTAATAACTTTTTCACGTGGTAGTCTGTAATTAGTTGAGAATAGCAAAATAATGTTATCCCCGTTTCATACAAGCTTTTCTGCTACTTTATTCCATGTAAAAAGACCACATATGCTGTAAATGTGGCTCAACTTTTTTTATTCTAAGTCCACTACTTCTGATTTTATTTATTTACATAAAATAAGAAAACTTTAATCAGTTGGCTTCTCTAATATTATTGATGTGAATTTACGCACTTTATAATGGATAGCGAAAAGTCTCACGAGTGACTCCTCCCCGGACCAAGTTGAATAATATTATGAGTAGAGGCTTGTAGTTAGGTAATCATCTACTACGATCTGACGTTGACGCTAATCCCATTGAATAAAGTATCATTTTCACTTTTTTCATATATGCTTTGCTTGTAATGAAGAGTGTGTTGGACTCTTGCTATTTGTATCTATTACATTGCTTGACACATTAAACTTACGAAGGAAAGGAAAATAAATGAGATCATCCATTTGTTGGCAGCTTGGTCAATTGAGCCATGTTGCTCATCACGGGCAGCATCAGTTTTTCTTAAAATAAAACTGGCTTTTGGTAAGTTTGTACGTATGTTGTGAAATCTTGAGAAAATTTGAGAAGGTTTCAACTTTCAGGTGCTGAGGGAGTCAAATATATCAACTTCTTGTTAGAATGTGGTTGTGGGAATGATATTGGTGATGAAAACCTGAGAAGCTTGGTAAGAACGTTGCCCATGCCATCAAATACTTCTCACCAAATGAAATGAAAATGAAAATGAAGCTGAAAATGGGCTAATAGTGGTGGAACCAAATTAAGCTAAGTGATGATGATATGTGATGACAGCTGCTCCTGCTTATGTCTTAAATTACCAGCCATTAAAATTCGACTTGGCCTGGTTCTAATTGAAGTAGAAATGTAAGTTGTATCATTGTTTCATTTTTCTGTTCTTATTATTTCTTACATAGGCAATTCTCTCAGATCTGTCTTCATATGAAAAACCCAGAAAATCATATCTCTGCTCATAAGCAAAGCTGAGTATTCTGCAACTTAATTTTTAGGCCGAATGATAACACCCTTGATAACAAGTCCTCTATTCCATTTCCCACTATCATATTCATACATCGAAAACTCCATGTCCCCAGGTATTTCGGGTGATGCTCTAAACTCGCCAACCAAAATCTCTTTCCATTGCTCTCTTGGGATTTCCTTCAACTTAACTTCATGCCATTGTTTGCTACCATCTGGAAGAGTGAGACTGACATTCACTGGAACATCCCATCCATCAGCTGAAGCTTTCAACTTGACCACAAACGCAACTTCATACAGAGTTCCTGGTGACAGCTTTGTAGTCTCAAATTGTCCATGCACTTCTAGCCAACATTCATTAATCATTTCGGCAGCATCAATGACGACACCACTGCAATGAAACCTGAGTTAGGATTGAGAGTACTGATAGCATTTTATGATAATTATTTTATTATTATTATTTTTTTGTATATTTGCGTTTATCTGTTTCAACTTCAATAGGACTGGAGAAACTGAGAAACCAATAAGTTATGTATTGAAGTTTTTGGTACCTGGTTTCTTGCAGGGAGGGCCAGAGCCAGTTACGATCGTCTTCAGCCCAAGAGATCGAGAGATCCCTAGCATATACCATAAAGCAGTTGTTGGACTTCTTGTCAATCCAATACTTCTGCAATAACAGTGATAATGCTAACAATTCATAGTCAACAAAATAATGACATAACCGAGATGGTTGGTTTCTAAGTTCACTTACAAGTTGGCCTTCTTTAAATCAAATTAAAAGCCCCATATATTTTGATTTGGAGCTGCATTTCGGCACGAACTGGAATATCACATTTCACAAAACTAAATCATCTGAGCATAGTGTTTGAATTTCAGATGCTGGGCTTACCTTTCTCTTTTGGTTTAAGGTTATTCCGGCACGGAGCTTTTCAAGGAGGTTTTCCACTGAGGATTTGTTGATGGGTGAGTCAGCATCTCTCAAAATAGCTTCATAGTTGTGTGGAAGCGGCGGTGG